GCCCATGGCCTGCTGTCCACTTCCTCTCCCAAATCCACTTCCTCTCCCAAATCCACTCCCTCTCCCAAATCCAGGTGTCCATTTCCTGGCACCCCTGCGTCCCAGGCCCATGGCCTGCTGTCCCACAGCAGTGGCCAGCCCTGTGCAGCCCCCAGTCGGCACTCTCGAGCCTACTCTTGTGGCATTTTTCCTCCCCTATATTACATATTACTTTGACTTCAGTTGTCAAACAGCAAAATGACTTCGCAGGTGTGCATGCTGCAGATTAGAATGCGTGGGTGGCTCTGCAACCACACCACCATCGAGACACCCGCAGGTGCTCCCGTGAGCCCCTCCCAGTCACCCTCTCCACAACTCTAATCCCTGGGGATGGCTCATCTCTTCTCCAACTCCACGTTCTGTCTTTCCCAGAAGGTCACGGAAATGGAACTGGACCATGCGCCACCCTTGGAGATGGGCTTCTGACACTCAGGGTGATACTTCAGGAACCGCCCATATAGCGGCGTGTAGCGAAAGCCCGTCCCTTTTTCCTGTTGAGCAGAATTCCACCATATGGATGTACCACGGTCTGCATTCCTTTGCCTTGGGAGGGACATTTTTGTTGCTTCCGGTTTGGGGTCACGGACAGAGCTACCATAAACATTCACGTATCGGTTTCTGTGGCATCTCACTGGGGCTTCTATTTACATTACCTAATGGCTGAAGATTTCGAGGATCTTCTCATAAGCAGACCTGCCATCCCCAAATCCTCTTTGGTCAAGTGTCTCTGTGTCTTTTGTCTATTTTCTAACTGTTTCTTCCCCCTTATTTTTGAGTTTTGAGGAGTCTTCATACATCTGGGGTACAAGCGTTCTTTGTCAGGTATGTGACTTGCAGATATCTTCTCCAAGTCTACAGCTTGTCTTTCCATATTATTAGCAGTGTCTTTTAGAGAGTAAACATTTTACATTTGGATGAAGTCCAAGTTTTTTTTCTGTTGTGAATCACGCTTAGGATGTCATGTTGCTGTGCACATTTTAAGTTTTGGAAAGAAACAGGGCAGCAGCTGGTTGTTCTGCCACCAAAATCTTGTTCAAGGGAAGGCCTCTGTGCGGTGGGTAGACGACAGTGGGGCTGACTTGAGACCTGAGTTCTAGGCCAGCCCTGCCCGAACCAGGCAGAAAAGGCCACCCAGGAGCTGAAGTGATTGAAATACCAGGTTCTCTTCCAGTAAATAAGGGGGTTTGACTCCAGAGCTTCAGAGAATTTTCTGCTGTAATCACTCGGTGGTTTTTTTTTTGGGACGGAGTTTCGCTCTTGTTACCCAGGCTGGAGTGCAATGGCGCGATCTCGGCTCACCGCAACCTCCGCCTCCTGGGTTCAGGCAATTCTCCTGCCTCAGCCTCCTGAGTAGCTGGGATTACAGGCACGCACCACCATGCCCAGCTAATTTTTTGTATTTTTAGTAGAGACGGGGTTTCACCATGTTGACCAGGATGGTCTCGATCTCTTGACCTCGTGATCCACCCGCCTCGGCCTCCCAAAGTGCTGGGATTACAGGCTTGAGCCACCGCGACCGGCCCTCACTCGGTGGTTTTTAACAGCCTTTCTGCTCTGGAGACGTGGAGCACGTGTTCCTGTCTGAGCACACATGGCTCAACATGTACCAGCAGAGCCCTGTCCGGAGCAGCCACGGGCACAGGTGGCCAGGAGGGGATGGGCAGCACACGCCAGCCGTCCATGGAGACGGGACTCCACAGGGAGGTGGAGGCGTGGGCAAGGCTCGGGCTCCTGATACCCAGTGGAGGAGAAAGGACAGCGCGGCCCCCCACCTCCACAGGAAACTGTGGAAATGGCCACAGGGAGGCAAGACAGTTTCTACTAGAGCTGCCCGAGTGAGCCAGCCCAGCTAGGGTAAAACTAACTCGGAAACGCTAATGGATAGGGTTACTTAGGAAATTATATCTCTATATAAATATACACAGGTTAAGTATCCCTTTATCTGAAATGCATGGAAACAGAAGTGTTCTGGATTTTGGATTTTTTCAGATTTTGGAATATCTGCATTATACTTACCAGTTAAGTTCTTTGAATTTATCCCTAATCTGAAAACACAAAGTCCAAAATGCTCCAATGAGCATTGTCTTTGAGTAGCATGTCAGTGCTCAAAAGTTTCCGATTTTAGCCTGGGACGGCCAGAATTATTCACACTTGTAATCCTGGCGCTTTGAGAAGTGGAGGTGGGAGGATCGTTTGAGGCCAGGCGTTCAAGACCAGCCTGGCCAATATAGCAAGATGTCCATGTCTTTTTTTTTTTTTTTTTTGAGATGGGTTTCATTCATGTTACCCAGGCTGGAGTGCAATGGCGCGATCTCGGCTCACCGCAACCTCCGCCTCCTGGGTTCAGGCAATTCTCCTGCCTCAGCCTCCTGAGTAGCTGGGATTACAGGCACGCGCCACCATGCCCAGCTAATGTTTTGTATTTTTAGTAGAGACGGGGTTTCACCATGTTGACCAGGATGGTCTCGATCTCTTGACCTCGTGATCCACCCGCCTTGGCCTCCCAAAGTGCTGGGATTACAGGCTTGAGCCACCACGCCCGGCTCTATTTTTTTTTTAATTCAGGTAAAAAGTTTTTAAAAGTTTGGGGCATTTCCGATTTTGTATTTTTAGATTTTGGATAGTCATCCACTGTGTGTGTGTGTGGTGTGTGTGTATGTGTGTGTGGCGAGGGCAGGGGTGGCTAGGGGCAATATATATCTTCCAGGTAATAGAGTTCAAAACTCGGAACACACAGCGGGAACTGAAACCCCCACAGAAGGCGCACAGCAATGACAGGTACACAGACCTCATGGAGCAGCTTCGCAAAACTGAAATCTCGTCAGGGAACCAGAGCAAACAGCAGGGGAGCACGGCACAGATCATTCAGTCCAATTTTTTTTAATTTTTAAAAGCTCTTTTCCATGCGATGCTTCTCAGAGATTCCACTATCTGTTTAGCCTTTGGAAACAGTCTTCTAAGTCACAGCGTGCACTGTTTGGAAAGACTTTGGAAAGTGCCCATGCTGGGTACTGCTCACTTAGTACCTCTGGTAGACCGCTCCACATCAGGCCTAGTGTAGCTCCCGTGGCCTTCCTATCCACCACACAGCCACATTCCATGGTGGGAGTGAACCACAGCGGAGCGCACTGTGCCCTAGTGAATATTTACGTGTGATATTCTTATATATTTCCCTTGATATGCCAGGCAAGTACGTTTTTAGGAGAGAAACATGGAAGTGGGCTTGCTTTTCCTAATTTAGTAAATTCAGGCCCTAATATTAAGATCTAACTTTGAATATTAAGATGCAGAAAACCATTATCTTGCATGTTAATTCTAGAAGAAATGGGGTTCCGAGCCAAATGGTTTAAAATAACTCCAAAGTTCTCCACGCTGCCTGGATGACTCAGGATGAGTCACGATGTATCCGACGCACAAACAAACAGAACAAGGCAGTGCAGGCCGCGCCCCGGGTCCTGAGCCACCACTTCAGATCCAAAGAGATCACAGCAAGAGACAGACCGGAAAGGTTCCGGGAGGCAAGTGCCACTGACTCTTCGCAGGTAACCCGAGTAACCCCCGTCATGTCATCACTGGGGTTCTGAACTCAGTCTGCCCTCAGACGGTAAAATGGACACTGGATGGAGGCAGGTGGGTAAGGGATGGAAAGTTACAGACTATTCAAGGGACAGTTTCAGAACGTCAGGTAAGCGCTAGCTACGATCGAGCTATCACTTCAGTGGCAGCAGAAATGATCTGTGTGCGGAGCGGTGTGTTCTTGCTTTGGCTTAAAGTCTGAAGACTTTTTACATCTTCAAAGGAATTCAGTATTTTATGATTTTTCTTTTCATATGGCCCATGTTTGGTTATCTCCCGCAATAAGCCCCAGTGTGACAATCACAAACACAGCCTTAATCAGAGAACAAAACACCATGCCCACATGAAAGGGAACATGCCCACACTGATAGAAAGTGCTTCTGAGAAGCAAGAGCTTTCAAAAAGGAGAAGAATCTCATCAGGTCCAGAGAGCCACAGAGCTTAAACATCTTACTTACTTTTCTATCAAATCCAGGGTGACGCCAGGCACCAGACTGACACATTTCTGCATGCAAAACCTGCAGAGAAAGAAAAGAATGTGAACAGCACAAATGGAATAGTCACCCAGGAAATTCAACAGGCTTGCAGAAAAAGGAAAGAGTTAAAAGTGGGACAGGGGCTGCCATGGTGAACCAATACACTCAGATTTCCTTAATTCTGGCAGCTTTTAGATTTGTAAAGAAAATCTCATTGCCATCCTGTCAAGGCGCGAGACTACAGAGCTGCCACAGTGAGTTGTCAGGAGAAAGGAGAGAAGCCGTTTGCAGCCACATGAAGCCCGGTCTCTGGAGAGGAGCGCCAAGATGCTTAATAAAGCGCAGTCTCCAAACGGGCTGCTGGGGTGGACTGGACAGCTCTTTCCTTCTGAAGGAAGTGAGCTGGGGAGACGGCTGGAGGAATAAATGAGTAGCCTCAAGGCACACAGAAGAGATGCAAATTCAATTCTATCATTTCCACCATCATGGACTCCTACAGGTCAGAGCGGGCTTCAAGTCTGAGGCGAACCCACCCTTAGGAGTGCGTAAGGAGCCGGACGGGCTTTCTCTAACGTGGCACCAACAGGAGGGAGGAAGCAGTGTCTCCTCCATCAGGGCGGCTGCCCCACACTGGGGCAGAATCAAGGCAGCAGAGGAAAACGGTAAGGAGGAGAAATGCAAAATGTTTAATTCCGTAAAAACATAATGGCAGGTGCAAAGCAAGTACGCACGTCTCCAAAATGCACTTAGGGACTGTTGGTTGAAAGTAAGAGATGAAGGAAGGCTGGAGATGGCCACTGGCCCAGGGGAGGGCACAGTACAAGAGTCAGGCATATTCCGGGGGAGAAGAGGAAGTGATTCCTCTACGGGGGATGGGGGCCCGGGAGGGCACCCGTAGCAGTGGGTTGGAAATGGGAAAGACACAGAGGACCCAAGAGATCCAGAAGCAGGAAGATAACGAGCCAAGGGTGTGAAGACAGTCACGGATGCAGCCCTGCAGGGCGAGGGGAAGCTGAGCTGGCCGTCCTGGACCCCGTGTGCGGCTGCCAGCCACGTTCGCTGTCTCAAGAAGCAATACCTAGCTCTACCAGCAGAGAGGAGGTTATATTCTTGGTTGTGGCTGCAGTAATCAGTGTTTTATCATTCAAAGAGCCAAGAAAATAAAGTGGGGCCCATGTCTGCCTGAAGCTAGACAGCAGCCCTTTCCTACAGCATCAAGTGCCCTGTGTGGTCCTGATGCTTCCCTCAGCCAGTCGGTGCCACTCAGAGGGGTCTGCTCTGCTGGCCTCACTTGCAGATGCTCTCCTGGGCCGTGCCCAGACACCTCTGCACCAGCGCAGACACGTGCATCTCCCGCAGTGCTCCCCGGTAAACTGGAATTTCTCCGTGGATAAAAATCATCTAAAGGAAATGCATTTTTGAATCTGAGTCCTACGCAAACCATGCTACTTTGTCTTTTTATCCATAATGTACTTATTGATTGGGATTTCTGGAGTCCAGTAATGACAGAATCACTTACCTCAGACTAATCCTTTTGCCAATAATGATAAGCTCTGGACAAAATATTAAAAAGCCATTTGAAGATTCTGATCAACAAACAAATGCAGGCAGGAACTGGAAGGGCTGTGACCCTTAGAAAATGAGAACAGCTGCATGAATCGCCTTCATCTGGCTTTTCCCAGGGGCACTGCTCACTCACGCGGCACCTGGGGGATAGCATGCAACTAAAAGACAGCAACCCTGCTGAGCTGAGGCCAGGCTCAGGGCTGCCAGGACACTGCAGGCAAAAGCTCTTGGAAGACGAGAGCCAAAACCCACATGTAAACCTTCCCCAAGTCAGAGGCTGGCTCCTGAAGGGCACGCACACAGGATGGTATTCCCAGGATCCCCCTGCAGACAGCAGGAAGGCTGAAAATGCAGAGTAGAGATTTTGACATCTGCTGGCCACAGTGAAGACAGAGAAGATCCAGTCCTGCAAAGTACAGGGCCTGATCACATCTGAGGCATTCCATGGACACCCCAGCGGGATTACGAACCACACCCTAGAATAAGATCAAAGCTGAAAGAGCCTAGTCCTATAATCAAGCCTCTACAAGATCAGTGTAACGGCTGAAAGAAAGTAACAGAATCTAGTGTCTACAGTGTCTCATCCATAACAGAGAGCATACTGTCTAAAATCAAGAGAAAAAACAGTTAATAAAAACAGTTTCATAGTTGGCCAGATTTGGGAATTAGTAGACAGAGCCTCTAAAATTATAAAAATATCTTAATTATTGACTTGGAAATAAGATTATAAAGCCACTGAAAATATAATGTTCCCTTAAATAAAAAATTAAAATGGGAACGTCATGCAACTTTATCATAGTATGGTTACATGAGTAAGAGTGGCATGGATAAATCAGTCACTGGTAAAACGCAAGCTTCACTTTAGACAATAATGCAAATTCTCTTTATACCAGAAATCAACTGGTTTCACATTTTATACAATTTCTTTCATTCACCTACATTACAGTGTTACTGAGCAAGGAAAGGTCAAAGAGCAGGCAAAGGTCGAAGTAATAAAAACGGCTCAAAAAATCCACAAAACTGAATACAATCATAACACAGCTGATATTTAGTGCTTACAATTCGGCAGTCAACGTTCTATGTCTTCTGTGCCTTTTATTTCTTGAATCCTCACAACATTCTGTGAGGTATTATGCTACATTATACAGATTAAAAAACATCATAAATTAGGTAACTTACCATGTAGTTTAAGAATACTAAAGACGATGAAAATACATACAAAGCTTCTAGAAATAAAGAGCGGATCACATTCAAAGAAACAAGAATCAGACTAACACAGGATGCAGGAAGACAATGCAGCAGTGTATTTATTTATTTATTTGTGAGACGGAGTCTCACTCTGTCACTGAGGCTGGAGTGCAGGGTGCGATCTCACCCCACAGCAACCTCCATCTCCTGGGCTCAAATGATTCTCCTCCCTCAGCCTCTGAGTAGCTGGGATTACAGGTGCTTGCCATCATGCATGGCTAATTTTGTATTTTTAGTAAAGACGGGGTTTTGCCATGTTGGTTAGGCTGGTCTTGAACTCCTGATCTCAGGTGATCCTCCCGCCTCAGCCTCCCACAGTGCTGTGATTGCAGGTGTGAGCTACCACACCCCACTGGTGTTTTTCATTTATTGAAGAAAAGAAGTTAAAACCTAGAATTTTGTATCCAGCCAAACTGTCATTCAAATGTGTGAGCATGATAAAAATACTCTCAGAGGCACATATGGCCTCGGAAGACTTGTCACAAAAAGACTCATGAGGAAGACACTTTCTGATGGCAAGCTAAAGTTAGAGGGAAAATCCAAGATTTGCTGAAGGAGATCTATGAAGTCACGATGACACATAACCTTGGTAACAGCTGGAGCTGTCTTAAAATGAAAGCACAAAGGTGGGGGCAATATCTATCATAACCAGGATTAAAAACCTAGATACAAATCCACAAGAGCACGAAAAACCTAATAGAAAACTGGGTGAACAGACATTTCAAAGATGAGGAAACACACATGGCCACTGAACACGAGGAAATGTTCAACATCACGAGCTATCAGAGAAACGTAAATCAAGGCTAATGAGATATCATTCTGAACCTCCTCAGTTAGCAAAGCTGTACACGAATGGCAATGCCAGGTACTGAGAAGGACGTGGCTCACGAGCCATCTCCATCACCACTGCAGGAGTGTAAAATGACACAGCCACTGGGAAAACACCTTACCATTATCTCTTAAAATTGAACTGTCCCATACACAATGATTTGGTAACTCTGCTTTCCAATACCAATGAAATTCTTGCATGCGTTCAAAAGAACACATGGAAAAGAGTGTTCAACATATCATTGTTCATAATAGCAAAGATAAAATGCAATACACCAAAGCAAAGCAAAACAAACACGGGGAAAAGCTGGCAAAGCTCAAGTGTCCGTTAAAGAGAGTAGCAGGTGCACGGGCTGGTGTATTCGCAGGGTGCAATTCGCAGGCAGTTGGAGGGAAGGTCCTCTAGCTATCCACATCAATATGGAGGAACACTACCAACACAACGCTAAGTGGAAAATGTCCACATTTCAACCAAAAGTATTTCTTTAAAAGAGTCCTCAAAATCACATTTGGCATTAAAGCTCTTAAAACATTTAAAATCTGAAAGAAAAGTAATGGTCTTAATGACTGCACGAGATGCAGGGTAGCAATTTAGGGAGGGTGTGGAAAGGATGATGAACCTGGCACCCAGGGCAGTGGCCACGGGGTGGGGACGGCAGCGCATGTGTGTCCAGGGCCCTGCGTGGTGGGCACAGGTAATCACCAAGGTCTGGGTTTTGGTTGGGTGGTGGTCTGCGGAAACGCATTATACTATAAAAACAACTGTTAGCTAACTACATATTTAAACGGAGGCCAAATACGGACTAGTGATGAGTGCGGCGTGAAGCAAGAATTATGACTGATCCAGGCTGGGTGTGCAAACAAGTGGCTTCAAGATTTTTATGGTGTTAAGTTTGGCCTAAAGTTGCCTCCATACATGTTTTATGTTTGGCCTGATGGTTTCATATACATAGTGAACCGTAACCCGACCTGATGTGTACACAGCTTACAACCTGCTCTCGTGACAGGCAGCTGAATCTCAGACTACCGCAGGCAGCCAACAGTTCAAACTGGGCTCATGCAAGGCAGATACCCAGCGGAAGCCAAACCAGCTGCAGCGGCAGCTTCCCTTCCGCCCACGGATGGTATCCGGCCACATGGCAGCCCGCAGTCACTCTGAACCCACTCTGGTTTTGGGGCTGCCTGAGTCAAGAATTGTTCTTTGCTCAATTAAACTCTGTTGTATCTAATTTGTCTAGAGTTTTCTTTTAACAATGAAGAACAAATTAATGTTCAGCTCAGTAACCTTGTCAAGTATCTTATAATTAACTATTGAATGCTGTTTTCATTTTTGAGAATGAAAATTCCTTTGTTTTCTCCTAATTAAAAAATCCCACATGTATTTACCATAAAAAAGTGAA